CCCGCGACTAGTCGGACGATATCACATCAACATTTAACATTGCAGCCATCAGACCATGCTAATTCTACAAAGATACAAGATTTGATTGAGATTTTGAAAACTTATATGCTTATGCATTAAAGATTAGATCCTCTTGAGAGTGAAAGAGCTGGCACTTCATCATTACCCTCATCGTAACCGGATTAAAATTGATATTTATTTTTTTAATAGATTATTATATTCTTGTTTAGGCACGAATTTGGTATTAAGTACAACTGATAAGCACTATTTATATATTTAATTTAGATTAGTTTATATGGTAAATAAGTTTTATTTTTATTTAATAATATATTTATTTTAAACTTTGTTTTATATTTTGAAATAATATAGTAATTAGTTGAATAATTAGGCTTAATAGACATATTAATAAGAATTGGGTTTAGTTGATGATTTGGGCTAATTATGTCTCTTTTTATTGTTTTAATTAGTGGCCCAACTAAAATGTTTTTGTTGTTTTATGATTTCAGCAAACCAAAACTCCATTTAGGGGTCGTTTGGTTCACGGAATGTCAGATTACCTTAGGGAATGTTAGATTGCTGGGAATGTTAGATTCATGTGTTTGGTTAAAATTGGGGTATGTAATATAATCATGTTTGGTTTAGGATTATCTTTTATACACACTATAATATCCTTAACATATTTTCATATATTTTAATAAATTTAAAAATTAAAATAAATAAATAAAATAACGGTATCATATATAATTACATGATTTTAAAATATTAACTAAAATCTTGAACTTGAGAAACAAAATTATTTTATATGCTAACATAACATAATAAAAAAATATATATAATTACAAATATATATATATATATATATATATATATATATATATATATATATATATATATATATATATATATATATATATATATATATATATATAATAAACTAACATAACCAAAGTTATCTTACATTACCTAAGATTTTGAAGGGAATCACATTCCCTTCAAAATCCTATGTGGAGGGAATGTGACATTTATTGGGAATGTTAGATTGCCAAAGATAATATGAACCAAACACCGGAATGTGAGCTTTGGAATGCCACATTCCCTTGGTTATGTTATATAACCTGAACCAAACGCTCCCTTAATATATTTGTCCTTTCTTTACCTTTTTCCCTTATAAGATTTTTACGTACAGCAGACTTCTTCAAGCGTTTCTGTGAACGCAGCGACGACATCAGCAAAGGGAACTCTATCTGCAATCTGCTACGGTGAATTACTCCATGGGCGAACGATTTCTGCAGCTGCTTCGAACTGCCGGTTTGCTGCCACGAATGGAGGAAATCAACTGGAGCAGAGGTTGGAACAATTATAGCTATTTTGTTAGATTTTCTTGGTGCGTAGAAATTAGTAATTTATTTTCTCAAGTTTTATGTGGTTGAAGAAATTGATTTTAATTTGTGGATGTTAGGGAAATTAGGGCTACTTTGAGCTAATTAGGGAGCCTGAACTAGTATAAATATGGATGAATTTTGCAGTATAGGATAGTCAGTTTTTTAGAATAATTTTATTTTACTGTAAACACTTTTGCAATGTACTGCTGAGTTCGAATTTTCCAATTCAAGGATTATTGAAGTTTGATTCTACAAGACCAATGAGATTTATTTAGCTTAATTTTATTCTTTGCACTTTATTATTTATATATATCTCATGTTATATGAATTTTAATTATTGCTTGATTAATTGTTGCAACGGGCCCATTGTTCAATTGTCAAGTCATTAAGTTGTTAATTAGAACCTTGAATCCGTAATTGTTTAAGTGTTCTAAAATTGGTAGCAAATAGCACAATTTGATTATATATAGATTTTCAATTTCGTGTTATGAAGATATATAGTCTAGTTTAAATGAACCATGCTTTTGAGTTTGTTGGCTAGAATTGGTAATCTTTCTAACTCTTTTAATGCTGTTAATAAATTAAATCCTAAGAGCCTGTTTAGGATTGTTTATTAGCTAGGGAAGTAATCAAAGAGCTTGTTTTGATTATCGACAAAGTAAGGAAAGATAGGTTATTAGAGCTTGTTAATAACCATAACCAATTTGGTAAAGAGTAAAGTAATTTAGTCTTGGGAATCAATGATCTGTCTTGATTGAATTAAATTGATATTATTCCTTGAGTTGGATACTAGTTGATATTGATTATTAAATATTTCGTATTGTTTGCCTTTTTATTGTTGCTATTTAAATTCCAATTGTCATCTCATTCTTTATTAAATCTTTGATTAAAAATAAGTCTAACCAATCTCTGAGGCACTACAAGAAAAATCGCGAATCGCGACGGACTATATTCCGTGGCCATTTAGCGACCGAATTTGCGACCAACTACATTCCGTTGCGAAATGGCGACGGAGTTAAATTCCGTCGTGTATGTTGGCGCGAAGATAAAATAAAGTCCGCGAAATAATGGCGGCAAATATTCACGACCGAATTGGTGACGGAAGTAATTTACGTCGTCCATTTTGCGATCGAAAAGGCGACCGATTTGTGTTCCGTCGTTAAATGGCGACGGAATTGGCGACCGATTTGATTCCGTCCTTAAATGAATTAAATTTTGGATTATGGACTAAATATGGCGACGGAAATCGCAATATTTTAATTAAATTTTATTTTTTTGTATACTTAAACGCTGCGTTTTGACTACAAAATTAGAATTAAATTAAAATTAAAAAACATTTTTAACCCTAAGTCCTAAAATCTCTCAAAGACATCAGAAGACAGCAGCTACTCCCTCGCGAACACTATCGCATACACTCCATCAGAAGACAGCACACCGCCGTCGTCATCACCGTGCAGCCGTCGCCGTGCCGCCGTGGTCATCACCAAAAATCCATAGCCGTCGCCTCCTCCTCCATTTCTGACCGGTAATTCATTTTCTCTACATCCCCTCTTCATCCCCTCTTGGAACTTTATTGGTACTGAAAGTTCTGCACTGTGTTCTTGAATCAGCCCCATTCCAGAGATTGGCTTTGTCTGGAGACTTCATAGCTCAGTTATAATCTTTTTTATTACTCATTTTCTGGAGACTTCAATTTTCTGGCCTTTAGTTTTTCGAAATTAGTGTAAGTTTTGCTTGGTTTATTGGCTGGAATTTCAATCTCTAAATGCAGTCCCTGTTTGGCTCAGTTATTGGCTTTGTCAAACATATATATCTTTTTTAAAATAGTTGTAATTTGGAGCTTCTTGAAAAAGATGGTTTTCTTCTTTTTTAGCGTTTGACCTAACTTCTACTTTAGGTACTAGATAGGCTCCAAATTGAGATGGGAAACAAGTACTTCCATATGCACTAAGACCTAATTGTGCTGCCTTTAAGATCCTTTATATTATTATATGTTATTTCAGTAATTAGCTTTGATATTTTTGGCGTGTTTGAGAATCTCTCTTAGATAAAGTTTGCTTTGGTTGTTTCATATTGGATTTCTTTCCTTTTTGGCTTTCATGTGTTTCCCCATAAACATATTTCTTTGTGGATTGAGTGTGTTCTTGTTAGACTCAGATTTTTTGTAGTAGCATTATGTTGATATAGAAACATCATTCTGAGCACATGAGGAAATATTCTAGTTCTCTTATGGTTCTAGTGCATGATATATGGTGCATCTGTGCTATTGTAGAAGGATTGCTATGTGAATATATATGGTGGTATAGAAATTTAGTACATTGAATCTGATAAAAATAAAGATACAACTTTGTCCATTTGATTGTGTCCTAGTATCAAATTATGAATCAATGAAGACAATGTATATTTTGGGTTCAAGGCATGCCTGGTAAGTTCTCCCAATACATAGTTTTGAAGAAACTGAGGCTCTAAGATTTAAATTTGTATTTGCATGGACTTAGATTTCTGCAGAAGTGAAGCATTCAGAGGATCTAATTGCACTCTAAGAAACAGGTTAATATTCATAAGTTTTAATGGCCATCATCTTCAAAGTTTTATTGTGTTAATGCTTATTATACATGGGAGGCTAAAATGGTTTGTTTTATTATCCTTGTTTCAATTAAACCATGAAAATCATTATTTCGTAGCAGTATGCTCTTGAATGTGCACTCTTAGGAAGCATGACCCTGATTCTCTGAATGCTGTTTGAAATTCATTTCTTCAAATGCAATTTCTGAGTATGGACTTCAAAACTAAACTACTGTTATTATTCATTTACCCTTTCAGTAAATTATTAACTGTGTAAATTATTAGTTTAATAATAAATTATGGAATCAGTATTCATAATATTCAAATATCAATGTTTATGGTGATCCATTTCTATATACTTAACTGTGTATATTATTAGAGTGATTATCAAATATCAATGTTTCTTTCTGCAATGATCAATATAACTCTTGATAAAAACTAGTAGAGCAAAGAAATTATCTATGTAATTCTAATTGCTAGAATTAGAATATTCATTTCATTTTGCTTCCAGCTTATCAATCATTATTGTGTGGACCATGGTCCATACAAGTTGTGTGGATCATATTTTGTTTACTATAAAACAATGTACATTCATTGTAGGAAAGTGATACTATTGGCTGCAAGTTTTTGGAATTAGTGATACTAAAAATTACTTTCATTTGTAGGAAAGTGAAGTTGCAAATTACAATGATGATTGGATTTCTTCTGCAATTCAATCACTGAAGAAGGCATCACCTATATGCCTTAGAAATTCTCTAAGATCGGTATGTTACAAGTCCAAACCATGAGTTAGATTTCATCCTGAATCAACACTGAATTATATTTCACCCTTAATTCTTTGTTTAAAGCTAAATTCATCAACATTTCCATGCACCACCCTTATATGCCAAATATTGTTTACTGTTATCTAGCTTTAAGAGTTGGTTCTCTTACTTCTATCGATAATAAGGACTAATTTGATTGCTTCTTTGTTACTAAATATATTGCATAATCATTACTTTGAAAACCATGATAATATATGTGTAAATATGTAGGCATATATAAATGAGTAATATGGATAGAAGTTGGATGTATCAAAGACGAACTCAACGTGGTGATCTTAATCAAGATTTTATTGAAGGATTGGAAACATTTATTGAGTTTGCATGTAGTAAGCCGAATTTTATGGATGGAACTAAAATTCGATGTCCATGTAAAAGATGTCGTCACATCTCATTTGAAGAAGCTGAGATGGTGAGATTTCACTTGTGCAAATTTGGTTTTGTGCCAAATTACTTTGAGTGGAATAGACATGGAGAAATGTCACACAATCAAACTTCAATGGAGTTTGATGCAAATTGGAGTTTAAATGAGCAAAATGAATCGTTGGAATCATATCAGCAAATGGTTTATGATGCTGCTGGTCCAAATCTCATAGCGAGGAATATGCGCGAGGAGCCAAATGTAGAAGATAAAAAATTCTTCGACATGTTAGATGCTGCTGATAGACAATTATGGTCTGGTTGTGAGAAGTTAACACAATTATCTGCTGTGGCTCGATTGCTAAACATAAAGACAGAATATCGTCTGCCAGAGCAATGCTTTGATGCATTCTGTCAATTATTTAAGGATGGTTTACCTGAAGACAATAACATGGTTGATAGTTTTTACCAGACAAAGAAACTAATACAAGGGCTTGGGCTACCAGTGGAGAAAATTGATTGTTGTAGGTTGGGGTGCATGCTATATTGGGGTTATGATAAGGAGTTAACCCAATGCAAATTGTGTCAGCAACCAAGGTACAAAAAATCAAGTCGTTCATCTAACAAATCACTTGTCTCTTACAAGAAAATGTATTACTTTCCATTAGCTCCAAGACTGAAGAGACTTTATGCTTCAAAAACAACAGCTGCTTCTATGAGATGGCACAATGAGGATCATGGCCACGATTCTGGAGTTATGTGTCATCCTTCTGATTCGGAAGCTTGGAAGCATTTTAATGCAACGCATCCATCATTTGCATTAGAAAGCCGTAATGTTAGGTTGGGTTTATGCACAGATGGATTTCAACGACTATTCTCCTTATGCAACAACGACTTGATGCTATTGATGGCGGGAGAGCGGGTACTTCATCACCACCTCCATCTCAAATCAATTGATTTTAATGGTTGTTTGTTAATGTTGTTTAGACTTGAATTGACTATTATATTATGTATTAAGTTTGGATTGATAATGTATTATTATGTTGTTTAGACTTGAATTGACTATTATATTATGTATTAAGTGTGGATAGATAATGTATTATTATGTTGTTTAGAGTTTAATTGACGATTATATTATGTATCAAATGTGGATTGGTAATGTATTAGTATTTTAACTTAATTTAGCATTATGTTATCTTTTATTTTAAAAACATTCATTACTATTTAAAATCAAATTTTTATTTTAAAATAATTCAAAAACGCGACGGAATCGCGACGGAATATAAGACTTGCGATGGAATATTTGTTGCCAATGAAGCAACGGAATTACGACGGAAAACATTTCCGTTGCGAAATTCGCGACCGAAAAGATAATATGGCGACGGAATATCCGGTTCAGAAATAACGACGGATTTGCGACGGAAACAGTTCCGTTGCAAAATTCGCGACGGAATTAGCGACCGAATAATTCCGTCGCCAAATGGCGACGGAAATATTCCATCGCGAATTCCAGCGCCAAACGTTGCGACGGAATTATTCCGTCGTCTACCAAAAACCGACAAGGCGATAGACGACGGAATAAATTCCGTCGCCATTCCGTCGCGAAACGCGATTCGCGACGGAATATTGCCCATTCGCGACGGAAAATTTCCTTCGCGATTCGCGATTTTTCTTGTAGTGAGGGTACGACCTTATTCATCACTATTGCAAATTATAGAGTAAGTAATTTATTATTTGTTGGTTTCGACACACATCAACAACATTCAATATTTTGAATGATGAAGTAGTATTACTTTTATATTACAAATTTTATTTTATTTTTGTTTTATAGTGTTTTTGTTTAGAAATGTGATTGCATACTCATGTTTTAAATACTAATATTAGAATTTTTTTAAAATATTAATAATTATCAAAATATTAAAAAATAATTATTTAGTAGAATCATGACGAAATGTAAGTTAGTGACAAAATATTCATTAATATTATGGCGACAAAATTGGTGACATAAATATTTATGTCGCCTAAAACGCGATGGGATAACGACAATAATTAGTTCTGTTATTATTTTACGACGAAATTTTGTGACGAATGATAAATTTTACGACGAAATCTTGTGATGGAAGACGAAATTCGCAACGAAAACAGAAAGGATAGCTACGGGATCGCGACGATAATTTGTTCCACCTTTTTTTTTTCGACGGGATTTTGTGACGGAATACAAAATTTGCAACGGAAAGATTAGCGACAGAATCGCGACAATAATTATTTCCGTCGTTATATTTCACGACAAAAATTTGCAACGGAATATGAGTTTCATGACGGAATATTTTTTCACGCGTTGGCTACAGAAATAAGCGTTTCCGTTGCCAAAACCGACGTTGCGACGAAAAATTCCGTCACCATTTTTCGTCGTCACCGCTCGCGACGGATTATTTTCGTCGCGAAATGAAATACGATAAGCCTTGACACTACGGAATGAATTCCGTTACGAAAATGCAAAATTTCGTCGCAAAACGTGATTTGCGACGGAATTTCGCATTTTCGTGACGGAATTTTTCCGTCGCGAATCGCGATTTTTCTTGTAGTGACACTTTTAAATGCAAATAACGACACCACGTAATTTACGGATCAAAAGCAAGGGTCATATTGAATAGATCCTAACATGACTTCTAAACATAAATAACATCCGAACATGCGAATTCCCACCCGAATATAAATCAAGAACATCACAATACAAATTCCCAATCCGTCCTAGGGCTCTAATCCCACCCAAATCATTAAAATCATGTTTTATATCTATCATCAAGAATATCAAGATTTTTCAAGAATCATCACATCAATATCAAGAACCTCTTTTTAATATCAAGATCACACACAAAATCATCACATCAATCAAATAAGATTATATTACGATTATCATAAAGGAATTCATCAAGACACAAGCATATAGAGGGAGCCGAAGAAGGGGATTATAGCAAAGAAAATAAGTTTTGTTGAGACATGGGTTACCTTTTAGCCTTAATTAATTTCCTTGGCTATGAAGGGTCTTTCTTTAAGATTTCTTCTTTCTTGATTTCTCCTATGGGAATTCTTGTGTGGTGAGATTTTATTGTGGTGTGAGTTCTAGGTGCCTCTTATGTCCCTATTTATATACCTAAGAGTCCTAATTAGGGTCTATATGGTATGAGCTTGCCACTTCCATTCCTTTTAGGATTAAGGGGGTTGGTTTTAGGGATAAGGGTCCATGGACTATGGTGGACCCCCTTTTAATTAATGGATTTTAATTCTCTTTTTAGGGCGAGTAATTTATTAATTAATTTGGTTTTAGAGATCGTAACACGGGGTGTTACACTCTTACAGGAGGCTTCGTCCCCGAAGCCGGTGCGTAGATCCATTCTTTCACCCCTGGATGTCACGTATTTCGGCCTCCTGATTAGGAAGTGTGGCCCCACGTGTTGTCCTTGCTGGGGTAGACTGGATTTCTGGTGAGGTGGTGGTTGGAGAGTTCGGGTCTGTGACCATATAGCCATTAATGTGCAATCCAATTATTTGCTTAGGCTTTTAGTTGAGATGGAGCACATACTTCAATTTGGTATCAGAGCCAGACCAAAGGTCATGGGTTCGAATCTCAGCGCCACTTGTAAGCGACTACGGTTTACTGGTCCACGTGTTGCTTGGAACCCACCGCACACGTGAGGGGGCGTGTGAGCATATAGCCATTAATGTGCAATCCAACTATGAGCTTAGACTTTTAGTTGAGATGAAGCACATACTTCAATTGGGTCTACCTTGGTTTCCCGCTCCTGAGCTGGATGCTCCGTGCGTGCCCAATATGGTCTTGATTGCTGCCACCCTCTGGTCTAGTGCACGCGTTATGTGGATTAGCGACGAGAACCCCTCGTCCATGATTTGATTTTGCCGGGTGAGCTGCGTGAGGATGCGCTCGTTGATGGATGCTTCATTTCGGACCCCTGGGTTTCCTCTTCCTTGCGCGGGTGCTGGTGGGTTAGGTTCACTGTCCTCTTCTTGTTCCTCATGGTCTTCCAGTCCCCCACATTCTTGCATTGCCCGTTTTAGCTTTTTGTTGGAGATATCCAGTTGATCAACTAGTTCCCTTTGTTCCTCTTTGGGTTTAAGGAAAACCTCCTCGAGGGTGATGTATTGTCCCTCTTCAGTGTAGTAGATGTCATTGCGGCGGAGGTTCTGTGCATTGAAAATCATGCCGCTCACGGGTTTGATCTCTGTGTGGCTCAGGTCCACCCCCTTTTTCTCCATGATCCAACTTATGATCATCCGGTAAGGTAGACTAAGCCGATTGCTAGTCTTGCAAAACTCCATGTGTTTCAACATAAGGGCCGGTAGATTGAACTTGATCTTGTGTTTTAGGAAGTAGGCAAAAGTACACTCCAAACTTCACACATCCTTGCTTTTGTTGTTTGTGAGCAACAAGCTGTCAGTCACAATCATGACTAGTATCTTTTGTTCGGCAGTTAGCCATTTTCTGTTTGGCCGGGTGGCCGAGGTGAAGCTTTCTTCTTTTCCTAGTAGGTACCCGTGGTAGTCCATACACCCCGTGCCTTGGGTACCAATCCATCCCTTTCGGTCGTAATCCGACACACCTGTGGTGGTCAGTTTTAGGAGTTTGGCCAAGTGGCCCTCGGAGAGTACTATCTCCTTGCCCCGGACTTTAGCGGTGATTTCCACTTTATCACCCCGTTTGACGGCCACTAAGTGGTGATAGAACTCCTTCACCAAGTTGGGGTCCGTATCCCCTTTGATGGAGAGATACGTATCTAAGAGTCCTTGAAATTTAAGCATATCGACCAACTCCGGAGAGAATTGGTCGGGTTCGAGGGCTTTACCTCCGATTACCGTGTAATCGGTGTCGTTCCATTCCGGGGTTCGGATGCCAACGGGCTTTTTCGGCATTGTGAGTTCTCCCTGGGTGGTGGTGTTTCTTCTCTTTGGAGATGTCCTTTTTCCGGCGAGTTTCCGGCGGAGCTCCGGTGACACGGGTTTCTCGATGGCAGGAAGGGGGCGGTGGCGTGGCTTCAGTTTTGGCGAGGTGACAGTGGTTCTGGGCGGAGCTGGGGTTGTGGAGGCAGCGGGAGGAGGCCGGGCGAGCACGGCCGTGCGTTGGCAGCGGGAGATCGGCGGGGTGGCGGGCGTGCGACGGGCGGCGTCCGGTAGCCGGAGGGCAGCGGGGTGTGGCCGGGAGGTCTCTGTGCGTTGATGGTGGGGTCTGGCGGTGTCCGTCGTTGGTGTGGGGAGAGAGAGAGAGAGTATGAGAGAGAGAGTTTTTGTGGGAGGGGGAAGAAAAAGGGTTTTTGATTTGGGGATTTTGTGTGTTTTAAGGGTTTGTAGGGGTTTAAGAAAGAAGTGTTCCCTTGAGATTTCAAGAAATATTAATAACCTAGTGGTTATGAATTTGGTTTTATAAGTGGGAGGTCTAGGGTTCAATCCCCATTGATAACATTAGTCTTCTTTGTTGTGATCCCCTTTATGGGTTTCCTTTTGTCCTTTTTCCTCTTTTGTCTTCTAGTGGTAGAAGGCTTGACTGGTCTCCTCTGCTGGTGACCTGTGGGTCCCTGGGTAGTCTAGTCCTTCTTCTCATGCTAAATTATTTTGATTTTATTCATAATAATTCCAAAGTAGCTAGACTAAACAAGTAATCTTACTATGGGGGTGGTTACAGGGGGTTTATTAGTCTATCCAAAACAGAACTCGTCTTTTTCGTTTTCTTCTGCCTGGTTTGCGGGATTTTCGTCTCCTGGTCCGTGTTTTCTTCGTCGAGGATGCCCTCGTTTTCGAGTTCGGCATGGGTGCGGCTCATGACGAACACTTTTCCGGGGGCACCGTAATTTCCTTGATTGTTCGTGCCTCCGCGTTGGCCCATGGCTGTAGGGCGTGAGTTCGAGGGTT